AATCTGCACATGGAGGTTCACAAAGTGCTGCGCCTGCCACGAAATCTTCACTTCAAGAAACAAGTGAAAACTCTAATCCCAATGGGCGGACGATTCCGAGCATGATCCGAGCATGATCCGAGAATGATCCGAGCATGACCCGAGACCGTCTCGCAACCGTCGTTCCGCAGACCTTGACTTGCCAGCTTCGGAGCCACCGGTTCCATTGAAAAATACAGCATTTCGTGCCTTCGCTATCTCTCCACTATGCATTTTGTATTGCGCCTGCCACGACATCTGCACATGGAGGTGCACAAAGTGCTGTGCCTGCCACGAAATCTGCACATGGAGGTTCACAAAGTGCTGCACCTACCACGACATCTGCACATGGAGGTTCACAAAGTGCTGCACCTGCCACGAAATCTGCACATGGAGGTTCACAAAGTGCTGCACCTGCCACGAAATCTGCACCTGGAGCTGGAGTTGCCTGGAGCTTGAGCTGTTGAAACCAGCGCTGGTGTATGAGCGGTGTATGATGACTGGTGTATGATGAGTGGTGTGTGATCAGTCGTGTATGATGAGTGGTGTATGATGAGTAGTGTATGATGAGTGGTGTATGATGAGTGGTGCATGACGAGTGGTGTATGATGAGTGGTGTATGATGAGTGGTGTATGATGAGTGGTGGTTGAACAGCTGTTGAATGTCCGTAACACGGAAGTTTTGCACACTAAACTTCCTTTGACTAGTAAGGCCCTTGTTCCTAGTAGCGAACTCTATTAGACCTTTCTTGGTTTCTAAGAGCAATGGCCTCCAACTTAGTAGCAAGTTATATTAGACCCACGGTGTTCAAGCGAGAAAAAGGGGGCCATGATGAGCTTCGCCGCGCCTGTCTCAGTCGCCATCCGGAGCCATGCAGGCGGGAGACTTCGGGAGACTCTTCAACCTGTCTTTCTATTTCTTTCCGTTCTTGTTGTGCAAAAGGAAAGATTTAAAACAACATAGTTCTTTTCTTTTTTGGTTGGGGGGGCGGATGAAATTGGAACTTAGTTTTTTTTTTGTCTTTCCTGCTTCTTCGCTTTCCTGTTCTTGATTTCCTTTTTCGAAAGGAGCACCTCTTTGAAGTTAGAGCCTCTTGCGGTGGCACAAATCCCCCCAATTCCACGAGGCTTGAGACCTGGACAAACCCAAGTGGGACTCGGTCGTGGGCACGGAACTTACCGGTCCACTTTCTACAAACAAACTCCTAGTAGCTTCTAGCTACCAAAAGGCTTTATTGTTACTAGCGGTGGTGGCCTCCAACTAGTAGCGTCCTCCACCTTGGCTACTCTTTTACTCCCAAAAGGGGCCGGGCAGCTGCGAAGTTTATCTCCCAAGCTTGCCATTCGAAAAACATTCAAGTAAATTGTAGTGATCAACCGCCGTCTCTGCCTACTTGCGCCCTCTGAATGTCAAGCGAGAATGGCTGCATCGACAGGAGGCGGGATCATCACAAAAAGCCTTTGGAACCCTCCAATTGGTTCGATGCTTCTTTAAAGGACTGGACTGGGGCACGTAGCCGCCAGATCGTTTGGAGACCCGCAAAGTCGTTAGGAAGACCACTTCGGGCCCGCCGACCGAAGAAGGGGGTGAGCTTTGGAGCAACATTCAAGCCATCCAAACATGCTCTGAGCTGGAATCGTCCTATACGGTAGGATTGATCAGAAAAACGGTCATACATACTGTCATGCGTCCAATGCGCAATACAAAACAGGTCATGAGCGGAAAACCAAAGGAAAACAGGTCATGAACTCCCATTTCTCACTTGTTTTTGGATAGGACATGCTCTTCTGCGAGTCTACTGTCATGTATGTTTTTAGGAGGGTGTGCCGGGTCGTTGGGATAAGTCAAAAACATGACGTGCAAACTTGTGTTATCCTGACGTGCCAGATTTCGATATCGATGTCGGTTCTCAGAATGGGGAGCTCCACAACGAATGATCTTCTGTCTATTGAGCCAATTTCAAGGCCAACCCAAACAGCTGTCCGTGCGCGTGCAATCGCGCTATTTGTGCGCTTTCTTTTCTCAGCAGGTGGGACGGTTGAGTTGCCATTATGCCTGGGCGCGGCAAAAACCAAGGGCACTGGTGGAACTGACACATTTTAGGTTCCTTTTGCTAGTAGTAACAAGTGCATCGCTAGTAGTAACAAGTGCCTTACTAGTAGTAACAAGAAGCCAGTAGAAACAATAAGCTAATAGCTACTTGCTCCTAGTAGTACGGCCAGGAGCCCTTAGTAGCACTGGTGGAACTGACACATTTTGGTTGGAACTTCATGGATGTCGTTGCCCTTGGTGGGCATAATTGCCGGCGAGGAGGGCACCAGCTCCAAAAAGTGGGTCAGCTGGTAGCTACGCCTTTAGTTGGGTGTCTTAGTGGCAAGCCATACCTTGCAATTTCAGGCACAAAAGAGACATCTCAATCCAACAACCTAGCAGGAGCCCCCTTCCCCCCCCCTGACAGCATGTCAAGGGTTCATGTTTGCTTCATGGCGCCATTTGCTCTTCCTCATAGTCTTGCTGGTGTGGATCCCCTGCAAAGGCTCCACTTTCGGGTTGACGCTTGGGAGCCCTGCACCCTGGAGTGACGCTTCTTCGACCAAATCCATACAATTGCACAATCTACTCAGTCCCTGAGCTTTATCTAAGTACATGGAACGGTCCCATACAGCTGTAGGGGAGTTTCTCCATGAGGTTCTCCATCCACGTTGGTTTTGCAATATCTGAGATCAATGGGTCATTCAGGTCTTAGATTCTCAACAATAATTGTGTGAATGAAGATTCTGGCCCTAATGACCCTCACTACAGTGTCTACAGTGGAAACTTGTGAATCTACCAGCTTCAAGGCCCTGTTTGCTTTCAATGGACCCAGTGCGGTTTTCTCCCCTTCCAGCGGAGTCTCTGAAGAGCTTCCTGCCCTGCCAAGGTCATGGCGCCTGGTGACGGATCCCAGCATGCGGTCAAGAGTGGAACACGTCGAAGCAAACCAATAAAGAGTGAAACGCCGTTTGCCAGGTCCTCTTTTTAACGATCTCCTTTCACCGCGCTACCCATTTCCACCACTGGCAACGAACTTCCTACTCCGGGCATTCTGCAAGAAACTTGTGGGCGTCTGAGTCTTTGGTTTGGCAGCGCATGCTTGGTGACAAAGCCAGAAGCACCATGGAGAAAATGAGATGGAAAGACGCACCGCCCAGTAGGGGTTATAAAATTGGTAAGCCTAGTGAGGCTTTAAGGCAAACCTTCTGGATGTTTCAATCAAACACCAAGCAAACATATTCACAAAGAAATCTATCCGTCCGGGTATTCGATTCTGGTCAGGAAGGAACATGAAACACGGCAAGTTTGCCTAAAAATCTAGGAGCCAAATCATAAGGACCTCCTTGATTAAGTAGGCCCAAGTAGGCGCCTACTTATTTCAGTAGGCAGGGGAAAAAGGGAATCAGGAGCAAGGACGCTACTAGGGGCTCCTGGCCGTACTACTAGTAACAAGAAGCTACGAACGTAGCAAAGGGCATTTCTACTGGGACGCTACTAGTAGCTTTTGGTGTTCCTCTTTTTTCGTCGAGCCGTCTTCCCGAACCCCCCAAGACTTTCCGGTCTCTTGCGGCGCCTTGTGCTTCGGCTTCCGGGAGCCTCTCCAAAAAGGGTCCGCCGCTTCCCTTGTTTCGGAAGAAGTGTATGCGAGGGCCTCCAACCTACTTAGTGAATTCCTCCACAGTTTCGGTCCAGCGTGAACAACTTGGATGGCCGCTTCTGGATGCTTCTGGGCACGCCGAATCATGAAACAACCGCCAAAAGCTTGGGAGGCAACTAAGGTCTTTTGGAGCAATCGACGACACTGGTCACCCTCCTCCACACAGTTTGTTGTTCCACCTAGGCAACTCAATATGCCATGGGCATTTTGTTTCCCTGTCGAGTGTGAGTGCATTCCATGCACTTGTGACAACGGTGGGCTACATTCCACGGGTGCTTGAGACCCACTCGCTCGTGGCGCGACCTCAATCCGTCTCCCGTAAGTTCAACATCCGCGATCTTCACGCGGCGGATCCAAGCCGTCGATGCTACCTCAAGATTTGCTCTATGGAACTTGTGACATGGTCCCGCGAGAGGCAAGGCCCCCCAAATTGAAGCAACGTACATGTTTTCGATGGTCTTCTAACCGTCCAATGACCGGTGCCAAACGTGCATGTCACTTGCCTTAGATTGCTATTGTTTTCTGCACAGGTCCCCCGGAGACTGCCATCGGTGGCTTTCCAAGGCCCAGGATGATGGACAGAGTCAATAGTCTGTGGCTTTGATGGCAGTGGCCCGTTGCAAACGACTCCCGTAACCAAACGTCACACTGCCCTGCGCTTGCTCCAGGATCACCCACAAATTCAAAACCACACTCATGCAGCCATACCTCCATGAAACCCACCTAAAATCCACGACCATTCCAAAGATTCCAAAGGTTGAAGAGATTAGATGCGAAATCGTAGGAAGTGAAAAGTGAAAGGGTGAAGTTGAACACCATCAGGTACCTGTCATCCCGCCCTGCCCTTCTGACAAGATCAACTCCCCTTTGGCCTCGGGCGTCCTTGGCCATTTCAGCCAAGCCTGGCCTCAGGGCCATGTTGCTGGGCCAAGGACTTGGGAGTCCGCTCAACGCTCAACCGACCAACGCGTGTGAATGCGATTGCTCTGTGAAGTGGTGCGTCGGAGGGAGGGTCCGCCAGCTGCGATGCCGCCAGAGTCTTCCAGCTGTTTTGGGTGCAAGGGGCCATGGCCTGATCCTTGAATTCTGGGTTGATATACTGATGTGGCTACCGAGGAGTACGTGCAACCGCTAGTGCTTTCCAGGTGGTCCACCAATGTACGGGAGGTGCACCTGGATGGAACTACTGACCTCTGTGGTCGGGTCCTTTCTCCAACACACTGCCATGAGACATTGAGCCGACAATTGTTCCCTTTTGGCCTTTTGTCGTAGTGGAGCGTGGCTGGGCGGCACACTTTCGGGAGCGTGCTGGGCTTGAGAAACGTTGGGCTTAGGCACGTGGGACTTCAAGAAAGGTTGCAAGCTCGCTGGGTTCCCAGCCTCCCGTGCGGAGCGTTGTTGCAATGGTAGATTCACATGGCGCGTGTGGCGTCCTAGTCCGTGCGACTCAATTCGGCTCCATGATCCATGCTGCTTTGGCCATCTATTTTGAAGGGCTAGTGTGGCTAGTGTCGTGATGTCCTTGGCTCAGGATTTCGGCAAGCAAGTGCTTCAAACTGCCAGGTTGTTCACGGAGCTGCGAGCAAGGTTAAAATACAAATTTTATGGCTCCGCGGTAGCCGTCTGAACATAAAATACCGAAACAACCATGTCAAAACACCGTGGAGGTTTCTGCCCTCAGGTTCATCTCAAGCTCACCTACCACTTGTGAGAAGCACCCACCGGACTGATAGGCTTCGCAGATTTCCGCCGAGACCTTTCGACACGAGGTGCGACGACGTCGGACTTGGTGGGAAGATGCGGGGCAATGGCACCCTAGTCGCGTCCGATCGCTCCTAGTAGTAAGGCCAGGAGCCCGTAGTAGCTTCTCGATACTAGTAGCTACTTGCTCCTAGTAGTATGGGCCAGGAGCCCCTAGGAGCTTCTTGTTACTAGTAGCTACTTGCTCCTAGCAGCGATGGCAGGAGCGCCTAGTAGCTTCTTGTTGCTAGTGGCTGCTTGCCCCTAGTAGCGATGCCAGGAGCCCCCAGTAGCTTCTTGCTCCTAGTAGCGATGCCAGGAGCCCCTACTAGCTTGTTGCTCCTAGTAGTAAAGGCCAGGAGCCCCTAGTAGCTTCTTGTTACTAGTAGCAACTTGTTCCTAGTAGCGATGGCAGGAGCTGCTAGTAGCTTCTTGCTCCTAGTACTTGCTCCTAGTAGTAAGGCCAGGAGCCCCTGGTAGCTTCTTGCTCCTAGTAGTAAGGCCAGGAGCCCCTAGTAGCTTATTGTTACTAGTAGATATTACTAGTAGCTACTTGTTCCTAGTAGCGATGTAGTAAGGCCAGGGGCCCCTACTAGCAAGAATCGTAGCTACTTGCTCCTAGTAGCGATGCCAGGAGCCCCTAGTAGCTTCTTGTTTCTAGTAGTGAGGCCAGGAGCCGTCAGTAGCGTCTTGTTACTAGTGGCTACTTGCTCCTAGTAGCGATGCCAGGAGCCCCTAGTAGCTTCTTGCTCCTAGCAGGCCAGGAGCCCCTAGTAGCTTCTTGCTCCTAGTAGTAAGGCCAGGAGCCCCTAGTAGCTTCTTGTTACTAGTAGCTACTTGCTGGTAGTAGCGATGCCAGGAGCCCCTAGTAGCTTCTTGCTCCTAGTAGTAGGGGCAGGAGCCCCTAGGAGCTTCTTGTTACTATTAGCTGCTTGCTCCTAGAACCCATGCAAGGAGCCCCTGGTGACTTCTTGCTCTTGGTAGTAAGGCCAGGAGCCCCTAGTAGCTTCTTGCTTCTAGCCCCTAGTAGCTTCTTGTTACTAGTAGCTACTTGCTCCTAGTAGCGATGCCAGGAGCGCCTAGTAGCTTCTTGCTCCTAGCAGCGATGCCAGCACCCCCAATAGCTTCTTGTTACTAGTAGCTACTTGCTGCTAGTAGCGATGCCAGAAGCCCTAGTAGCTTCTTGCTCCTAGTAGTAAGGCCAGGAGCCCCTAGTAGCTTCTGGTTACTTGTAGCTACTTGCTCCTAGTAGCGATGCCAGGAGCACCTATAGTAGCTTCTCGCTCCTAGTAGTATGGGCCAGGAGCCCCTAGTAGCTTCTTGTTACTAGTAGCTACTTGCTCCTAGTAGCGATGTCAGGAGCCGCTAGTAGCTTCTTGCTCCTGATAGTGAGGCCAGGAGCCGCTAGTAGCGTCTTGTTACTAGTAGCTAGTTGCTCTTAGTAGCGATGCCAGGAGCCCCTAGTAGCTTCTTGCTCCCAATAGTATAGGCCAGGAGCCCCTAGTAGCTTCTTGCTCCTAGTAGCGATGCCAGGAGCCCATAGTAGCTTCTTGCTCCTAGTAGTAAGGCCACGAGCCCCTAGTAGTTTCTTGTTACTCGTAATACTTGCTCCTAGTAGCGATGCCAGGAGCCCCTAGTAGCTTCTTGCTCCTAGTAGTGAGGCCAGGAGCCCCTAGATGCCAGGAGCCTCGTAGCTTCTCGCTCCTAGTAGTATAGGGCAGGAGCCCCTACTAGCTTCTTGTTAGTAGTAGCTACTTGCTCCTAGTAGCGATGCCAGGAGCCCATAGTAGCTTCTTGCTGCTAGTAGTATAGGCCAGGAGCCGCTAGTAGCTTCTTGTTACTAGTAGCTACTTGCTCCTAGTAGCGATGCCAGGAGCCCCTAGTAGCTTCTTGCTCCTAGTAGTATAGGCCAGGAGCCCCTAGTAGCTTCTTGTTAATAGCATGCTCCTAGTAGCGATGCCAGGAGCCCCCAGTCGCTTCTTGCTCCTAGTAATAGAGGCCAGGAGCCCCTAGTAGCTTCTTGTTGTAGCTACTTGCTGCAAATAGCGATGCCAGGAGCCCATAGTAGCTTCTTGCTGCTATTAGTATAGGCCAGGAGCCCCTAGTAGCTTCTTGTTACTGGTAGCTACTTGCTCCTAGTAGCGATGCCAGCACCCCTACTAGCTTCTTGCTCCTAGTAGTATAGGCCAGGAGCCCCTAGTAGCTTATTGTTACTAGTAGCGATGGCCTCCACCCTAGTAGCGATGTGTGTCTAAAGGAGCGGAGTTCGGTTGCGATGTTCCGGGTGGAAGGAACATCCGAACGATCAGAAACGCAGACCGGTGACGTGATGTTCCGCGAGGAGCGTTGAGAGAGAGTTGCCAGACTACGTGGGCTGGAGCCATTTCCCGCCCCTTCCCCGGTGACACTTTGTACTACACCATTGGGCTTGCTACTTTGTAAGCTTCAGACCCAGGTAATGACACAAAGTTGACCAACGGATTGACCACGAGAATTTGCAAACCTCGTGGTAAACCCACGCGATGTACGGTTGAAGAACCCGACTGTTCGACGGTGCCGCAGAGGTACGCCAGGATCCCATAAGGTCACCAAACCTCTTTTGGGACAAGTACTGGGACAAGTAGCTTCTTGCTCCTAGTAGTAGGGCCAGGGGCCCCTAGTAGCGTCCTTGCTCCTAGTAGCGATGCCCTTTGCTCCTAGTAACTTCTGTTGGGACAGCCCAAAACGAACGCAGCGTTCCGAACCTGAGTGCCCGGGCGGGATGCTCTGTCGGGCCTAGGGTTTCGATCGTGGAAGTCTGGATTGTTCCATAAAGTCTTCTTGTTACTAGCGTCCTTGCTCCTAGTAGCGGCGCCAGGAGCCCCTAGTAGCTTCTTGCTCCTAGTAGTATAAGCCAGGAGCCCCTAGTAGCTTCTTGTTACTAGTAGCTACTTGCTCCTAGCAGCGATGCCAGGAGCCCCTAGTAGCTTCTTGCTCCTAGTAGTAAGGCCAGGAGCCCCTAGTAGCTTCCTGTTACTAGTAGCTACTTGCTCCTAGTAGCGATGCCAGAAGCCCATAGTAGCTTCTTAAGCCAGGAGTTCTTGTTACAGTAGCTACTTGCTCCTAGTAGTAAGGCCAGGGGCCCCTAGTAGCTTTCTTGTTACTAGTCGCGATGACCTCCAAGGTCTCCAAGCAACAGACTTTGGAGGCTCAACTTTAAATTTTACTCTTGCAATCATCCGCTGGTAACGGCTGGTAACAGCCTGGATTCTGCCAAAGCTGCAGCATAGAGCAATCATGGCACGCACTGCTTTATCGGTGCTTGGTTGTGGCTATTTGCCACTTACTTAAAGGTCTGTCATGTAGCAAGGGGTCACGGACCAGCTCATTGGTTGAACCATTCTGGTGATTGTGTTTGGGCAACGTTCGGCCCAACGAATATGTCCAAAAAGGACGGATGACAAAGGAGTTCATTACTATATTTGAGAGAGGAGGGGGTGAACGAAAGGTAGCAGGCAATCACAAGTAACCCTGGTAGAAGTCCATGACGGCGTGAATGCACAATCCCAACTCCTGATTGTAATACATTTTTGCGAAAGAAAGGAGAACTCAGGTAGCTCAAGCTACCTTTCGTGACTAGTCGCAAGAAGCTGAGCAAAGGGCATCGCTACTAAGGACGCTACTAGGGGCTCCTGGCCGTTCTACTAGGAGAAAGAAGCTACGAACGGAGCAAAGAGCATCGCTACTGGGAGCAAGGACGCTACGAACGGGGCACTCCTGGCCTTACTACCAGTAGAGAAGCTAGTAGGTTGGAGGCCATCGCTTCTAGGTCAATCAGCCGTGTTCTTTTCGTTTCGCCGTCCAGGACCATACCTGAATACATCTGAATACCACCGCATCCTTGGTTTTCCCGGTTCTGGGCGGCCGAAATATCGCCAGACTAGGAGCGCCAAGGCTTGGCACCGAAGATACAAGCCGCGTAGTCGAAAAGCTCTAGCTTCGAATGGTCCGGTGTGCGTCCTAAACACTTCGCATCCCAATCAACTCCTCGCCGTAAACCCAGCTGGACGGCCTCCTGTGGCTCCGCATACACAGGATGGAGATTTTTTCTGTTTTTTCAATTTTTTCCGGATTTTTTTCACATTTTTTCCCCTACTGTTTTTGCTTTTGCTTTTTGCTTTGGCTTCTGCTGGGAGTGCAAGGGCAGGGGACGAAGCGCCACAGCCAGCGTGATGGAGAGAAAGGGAGGGGAACTTTTTGCTTTGACTTCTGCTGGGAGTGCTTTCCAAGCACTAGGAGCAGCAGAAAGGGACAGAAAGGGAGGGAACAGAAAAGGTATCCCACTCACTATACGGACTTCTTTGCGGTTGTCTTTGGGCTTCACTGGTTTCGGGTTTCTTTGGGCTCGGTTTCTTGTCCCTAGGGGGTGCTTTAGGTGTTCTTCCGGCTTAATTCTTTTTAGAATTGTCAACTTGGAATGGCCACATCCTGCTCCAAATTTTACACTCCAGTGGCTCACCAAAGGGTGAGCCAACTTGGGAGGGCAACATCCTTCTCTAAATTTTACCCCTGCATGGCCCACAAAAGGGTGAGTCAAGTTGAGATGGCAAC